CTGTCCTCAGCTTGCCCCGGAAACAAATCATATTACCCGTTTCCGTTGGGTAGATATGCTTCTCTTTTGCCCCTGTGATGTCATCACAGGGCTCCCAAATCTTCATTATACATCAGAAAGCAGAAGGAGGGGTTTGTGGGGTGATCCGCATCGCTTCTTGACTCCTGTAGGTGCACCCCGCAATCCTACCACTCCCAGGAGTACTCAGCCTCATGGAGGGATAAGAGGAATGGAGGTTTTGCAGAAAAGGGCATTCCAAACAAGACGTAAGCTTGGTAGAGCAGCAAGATTTAGCTTCCTCATGTCTGAGCTGCTCCCCCCTGATCACTGGTGAGCTGATGGCCGGAGGGGTAATGATAGAGGTGGAGGAAGCACAGATCACCAGAATGGAGGAAGAAGAAGCGGGGAGATTCTTGCACTGCAGGTCCTCGGGTGCAGCTTCCTCTCCAGCAAGGAGAACATTGAGCAGCACAGCAGTGACATCACCAAATCTCAAGGCAGCAGTACCTTAGATAATCTTACATGTGATATACAGCTATGATGATACAGAACAGGAGTGCCTAGGCACAGGGAGTGCACTGATATCGGGAGCGCTTAGGAACAGGGAGTGCCCTAGCACAGGAAGTGCACATATCGGGAGTGCCCAGGCACAGGAAGTGCACAGATATTGGGAGCGCCCACGTACAAGGAGTGCACAGATATCAACAGTACCTAGGCGCAGGAAGTGCACATATCGGGAGTGCCTAGACCCAGGAAGTGCACAGATATTGGGGGTGCCTAGGCCCAGGAAGTGCTCTCATATCAGGAGCGCTTAGGAGCAGAGCGTGCCCTAGCACAGGAAGTGCACAGATATTGTGGGTGCCTAGGCACAGGAAGTGCACAGATATCAGGAGTGCCCAGGCACAGGAAGTGCACAGATATCAGGAGTGCCCAGGCACAGGAAGTGCACAGATATCAGGAGTGCCCAGGCACAGGAAGTGCACAGATATCAGGAGTGCCCAGGCACAGGAAGTGCACAGATATCAGGAGCGCCCACGCACAAGGAGTGCACTGATATCAACAGTGCCTAGGCACAGGAAGTGGTCTGATATCAGCAGTGCCCAGGCACAGGAAGTGCACAGTTAGGGAGGGCTTAGGCACAGTCACATATATAAATGTGCCGTTCACTTCTACAATCTCACTTTAGTTTGTTTCCTCCCACAGCGGATCCATCCAACGAATCTGAACGCGTCGAGTTTTATAACCTGGTGCTGCTGTTCTGCGAACTGATCCGGCATGACGTGTTCTCACACAACATGTACATGTGCACACTGATATCCAGGGGGGACCTGGGCCTGGACCACGCACCGCGACCTCGTTCTCCGTATGAGGACCCGTCCGATGACACTGACCGCAAGGAGGGAGAGACCAACAACAGCATCAAGTTAGAGGTGAGTGATGACGCAAGGCAGGGCAGTCACACGTGTGTTATACCGCGGCGGATTCAAAGAAGGAAATCCCGCTTTCTGCATCTCTGCCGCGCTTTTTCATAATGCAAATCTACAGCGAGGATGCAAATTCAGAGGAATACTGACCTTATTCTTCGCCCCACCGACAGCCGTCACTCTCCTCTCTGGCACTGCGAGTGGGGACTGGAGGTCCTCATGTACAATGCTAGGGGTCTGACCCTATATACATGGGCTCTGGATTGCTGCGTTTCCATGGTTATAGAAGGAAATCTTTTACAATCTTATCGGCATGAAAAGTATAAAAATGATGAACTTCCTGAATTCTTCTCTCTCCATCTCAGGACACGACCCTCTCCGAGACCATGGACATTGATCACAGTTCGGGGCCTTTAGCCGATGACATGGAGAAAAGTGAATTCCCGGTAAGATATTGGGACCATTTCTTCTTCTTTGAGGGGGGGGGGGAGTGCCCGTGGGCGGGGGGAGGAGTCATTGTAAAGAGTGTTTTTTCTATTAATTGAGTGTCCTATAGCTTTAAGAAGAATGCTCTCATGTTTCTGCAGATGTTCTCGCCCGCGATGCGCTGCGAGGGGCGGAGTCCTGGACCCGATGACGGGGACTGCGAAACACGGCGGACGGGGAAGCCTACAGCGGCGGAAGGACCTCTGGCTTCCTTGTATGATCAGCCGCGTCACATACAATACGCCACGCACTTCCCTATTCCGCAGGTGAGAGCGAAGAGTGTGCTAAGCGGCCGAGGATGTGAAGTTCCGTTCTTCCGGGTCATGTAGAAAATGCATCGAGCCAACTGGACCGGCTGCACGTTCTGCTGGTCATCTGACCAGCTTTCTCAATTCAGAGTGACTGGGAATAAATAGGGTGAACGTTGCTCCAATCCTCATAATCTGCTTATTATAACCAGCATGGGGTCAGAGACGCATAGATGTAAGGGGTTGTGATTGCATTGGCATGATTGGAGCTAGCAGGTGTCATTGAGAAAATGTATCTGACCCCCCCCCAACCTTTCTTGTGTTGTCACTGTGCCAGGAAGTGAGGGGGAAATCTCTCTGACAGATGACAGTCAGTAAAACCCATCAGAGGTCCTGACCCCCGGGACATCCCGTCATGCCCCTGCCTCTGGGAGTCATGCCTGTGGCTGTCAGTCTTGCAAGGCCTCATGGGAGTTGTAGTCCCACAACAGCTGGAGCTCCGGTACCGGCGCGGGATGTCTGCAGCCATTAGTACTGAACCTGAGAGGAGTATTGTAGGAATGTCTGAACTCTATAGGTGACCCTCATGTAGAACTAGGGGTAACTAGAGCCCTGTACCCCACCAATAACACCACACTGATACCCCCCATCCC